ATTTATTTATTTATTTTTAAAAGACTTTATTTATTTATGTGACAGAGAGAGAGCACAAGCAGAGGGAGAGGGAGAAGCAGGCTCCCCGCTGAGCAGAGAGCCCGACGTGAGGCTCGATCCCAGGCCCCTGGGATCATGACCTGAACCGAAGGCAGACGCTTAACCGGCTGAGCCACCCAGGCATCCCACGAAATTTACTGTTAAAGGCCCACCCATTGTTCTAAGGTTCTGGGGCACACTATCATTTCCTTTATGATGACGTATGGTGAGAGTGGGTGAGAGCTTTTTATGTAGTTTCTTGGCAAGGTGAAAAGTAAGAAGCCCAATGTCAGGCCCTAGTGTATTTGGGGGACTTGGGTGGTTCATAAAAACCGAAAGGCGTGGGGCACTCTGGGAAGGCTAAGAGCTAGAAACAAAGGCCCCGGTGTAAACTTTCCAGCGATATGGACCTTCAGGCAACATGGGACATCAGGGCAGGTGAGGAGACCTGCACAGAGGGTAGCGTTAGGGAGCCTGGACCAGGAAGCCATGCAGAGATAGGGCCGGAGAGGCCCTGGAGGGGAGCTGGCAGCCCCAGAGAGTGGTGGGCTCACAGGGATGTAGAAGGAACTGGGGGCCAGGCTGAGAGCACAGTCCAGAGGGTTTGGCAGAGGGCGGCTCAGGACAGCTGGGTGGACAGGCCACTTAGAAGAGGAGTAGGGCAGGAGGCAGGAAAAGACCCAGAGCCTGCAGTAACTGGCATACAGTCAGCACGTGCCCCTTCCCATGATCCTCTAGGGAGCCTGCTGGGCACCCAGGAAGCACTCCATTTCTGTCCATAGCCCTCCACTTGCCCTCGGTCCCCACCAGCTGCTACACCTAACCCCAGAGCCAGACTGTACCCTCCTCACCTCAGGACACTCAGTGGGAGACAGAGGGTGGCCAGCCCACAGGACACAGGCAGGGGATCTCAGAGCCCCTGTGTCCTAGAGGTTCTCAGAGGCAAGCCAGTCCTAGAGACCAGCACAGAGGGGCATCTGCTCCTCCCCTCCCCTGCCGCTGCCCAGAATGCCGGGAGGGAGAAAGGCTGTGAAAGGATCGCCGGCCAGTGGTGATCTCCACCAAGCGGGGACAGGGCCGGCCTCAAGGCTGCCTGGTGAATCAGAGAAACCACTGTATGGAGGCCAGCCCAAGCCAGGGATCTTCCACCTTTTGCCCCACCAAGTCACCCACACCTTGGGTCTCAGTGCTGCCCGCCCTTCCCTCTGTCTCAGGTGTCGGCGCTGCCACCCAACGGCCTGGTCCGCAAGGTGAAGCGGACACTGCCCAGCCCCCCTCCAGAGGAGGCTCACCTGCCCCTGGCTGGCCAGGCCCCCCCGCAGCTGTATGCGGCCAGCCTGCTGCAGCATGGGCTGGCGGGGCCCACCGCTGTCCCTGCCACCAAGGCCAGCCTGCTCCGGGACCTGGACCGGGACCTGCGGCTGGTGGAGCATGAGTCCACCAAGCTGCGCAAGAAGCAAGCGGAGCTGGACGAGGAGGAGAAGGAGATCGACGCCAAGCTCAAGTACCTGGAGCTGGGCATCACACAGCGGAAAGAGTCTCTGGCCAAAGACCGAGGCGGCCGTGACTACCCGCCCTTGCGTGGGCTCGGTGAGCATCGTGACTACTTGTCGGACAGCGAGCTCAACCAGCTGCGGCTCCCGGGCTGTGCCACTCCTGCCGGCCAGTACGCAGACTTCCCTGTCACTGCCACTGCTCCTGCCACCCCCTCCGGCCCCACTGCCTTCCAACAGCCCCGGTTCCCGCCTCCGGCCCCGCAGTACACTGCAGGCAGTGGTGGGCCAACCCAGAACGGATTCCCGGCCCACCAAGCACCCACCTACCCTGGCCCCAGCACATACCCAGCACCTGCCTTTCCTCCTGGCACCAGTTACCCAGCTGAGCCTGGCCTGCCAGGCCAACAGGCTTTCCGTCCCACAGGCCATTATGCAGCCCAAACACCCATGCCAACCACACAGAGCACTCTTTTCCCAGTCCCGGCCGACAGCCGTGCCCCCCACCAGAAGCCACGCCAGACATCACTGGCCGACTTGGAACAGAAGGTGCCCACTAACTATGAGGTGATCGCCAGCCCTGTCGTGGCCATGTCCTCAGGCGCATCTGAAAGCAGCTACAGCAGCCCAGCAGCGAGCGGCAGCTACGAGCAAGGCAAAGCGGCAGAGCCACCCCGGGCCAGCGACCGTAGCAGCGTGAGCCTGAGCTCAGCCTCCACCTACCCCTCTGACTCCCACTACACCAGCCTGGAGCAGAATGTCCCCCGGAACTATGTGATGATTGACGACATCAGTGAGCTGACCAAGGACAGCACCTCCACTGCCCCCGAGAGCCAGCGACTGGAGCCCCTGGGGCCGAGCAGCAGCGGGCGTCCTGGCAAAGAGCCCGGAGAACCAGGCATCCTGGAGGGGCCTGTACTGCCCTGCTGCTACACCAGAGGGGAGGAAGAATCCGAGGAGGACTCTTACGACCCCCGTGGGAAGAGTGGCCACCACCGGAGTGTGGAGAGCAATGGCCGACCAACCAGTGCCCACTACTACGGTGACAGCGACTACAGACACGGGGCTCGAGCAGAGAAGTACGGTCCGGGCCCCATGGGGCCCAAGCATCCCTCCAAGAGCCTGGCACCAGCTGCCATCTCCTCAAAGCGCAGCAAGCACCGGAAGCAGGGCATGGAGCAAAAGATCTCCAAGTTCTCACCTATCGAAGAGGCCAAGGACGTGGAGTCGGATCTGGCCTCCTACCCCTCCCCTGCAGTCAGCAGCAGCCTAGCCTCTCGGGGCAGGAAGTTCCAGGACGAAATCACCTACGGGCTCAAGAAGAACGTGTACGAGCAGCAGAGGTATTATGGGGTGTCCAGCCGGGACCCAGTGGAGGAGGACGACCGCATGTATGGAGGGAGCGGACGGTCCCGGGTGGCATCTGCATACAGTGGGGAGAAGCTGTCCAGCCATGACTTCGGTGGCCGGGGCAAAGGATATGAGCGGGAACGGGAAGCTGTGGAGCGACTTCAAAAAGCGGGCCCCAAGCTCTCATCCCTGAGCATGGCCCACGGCCGGGCCCGGCCCCCCATGCGGAGCCAGACCTCTGAAGAGGAGAGCCCCGTCAGCCCCTTGGGGCGGCCCCGCCCTGCCGGCGGCCCCCTTCCTCCTGGGGACACCTGCCCACAGTTCTGCTCCAGCCACTCCATGCCTGACGTCCAGGAGCACGTCAAGGACGGGCCTCGGGCCCACACATATAAGCGTGAGGAGGGCTACATCCTGGATGACTCCCACTGCGTAGTTTCCGACAGCGAAGGTAATGGCAGCCAGGGGTGATTTCTGCAGCTGCTCGGCACCCCGGGGGGCCTGCCCGCCCATGGGGCCCTGGGCCCTGAGATGTCCCAGAGGGGCCTGACTTGGCGCCTCATCCAGTGGGGGCCCTGCTGCAGGCGGCTCCACCCGCGCCCTGGCCCTGGTTGTGGGGGGGCGGGCTGGGGGCCTAGTGTTAATGCTTGCGGCTGTGGCGTCCTCTCTCTGGTTTCCTTGCATGGCTTCAGCTGGGCCTCCCCCTGCGGCCAGCCCGGGGGTTGATGGTGTTCTGTTTTTGGTCTCTGAAGCGTATCACCTGGGCCAGGAGGAGACAGACTGGTTTGATAAGCCCCGGGATGCCCGCTCTGACCGGTTCAGGCACCACGGGGGCCATGCAGTCTCCTCCTCCTCCCAGAAGCGAGGCCCTGCCAGGCACAGCTACCACGACTACGATGAGCCCCCCGAGGAGGGCCTGTGGCCCCATGATGAGGGTGGCCCGAGCCGCCACGCCTCAGCCAAGGAACACCGGCACCACGGTGACCACGGGCGGCACTCAGGCCGCCACGCTGGCGAGGAGCCGAGCCGGCGTGCTGCCAAAGCACATGCTCGGGACCTGGGTCGCCACGAGGCCCGGCCGCACCCTCAGCCCGGCCCTGCCCCGGCCATGCAGAAGAAGGGTCAGCCTGGGTACCCCAGCTCCACTGAATACTCACAGCCAGCCCGTGCTCCGTCAGCGTACCATCACGCCTCTGACAGCAAGAAGGGCTCCCGGCAGGCCCACACGGGGCCCGCTACGCCGCAGCCAAAGCCAGAGCCCCAGCTGCAGCCGCAAGGTCGGCAGGCAGCTCCTGGGCCGCAGCAGTCACAGCCGCCGCCATCGAGGCAGACCCCCTCGGCGACAGTATCGCGCCAGCCTCTGACACAGCAGCAGCAGCAAGGTCTCGGGGCGCAGCACCCCCAGCAGGCCCCGGCGCAGGCCCGGCTGCAGCAGCAGGGCCAGCCAGCTGCCCGGGGCCCGGCCCCTGCTGCCAGCCAGCCGGCAGGGAAGGCTCAGCCGGGCCCCACGACAGCCTCGGGCCCCCAGGCAGCAGGACCGGTAAGTAGGGCTCCAGCACACGGATCCTACCCAGGGCAGGTGCTGGGGCTGCAGCTGGGACACGCCCTCGGTTCCCGGCTGGGAGTGAGCAGGGCCGTCGGACGCTATCTCAGCTGTGGGTTCTGTGTTGCAGCCACGGGCAGAGCAGGCAAATGGCTCTAAAGGGACAGCCAAGGTACCCCCACAGGGGAGGCCTCCTCAGGCCCAACCGCCACCAGGACCTGGACCTGCAGGTGAGCCTATATTTTGGTGCCCTCAGCCACGGCCCAGAATTCCTGGTCTGCCCTCTCCCTGCACCCACCGGCGCCCTGAGCTCCCCTGCACCGCATACCCGCACTGCTCCCTGAGAAGGTGCCCAGGGGTCTGCAGACCTTCCCAACAGAAAACAAGCCTGGGGTTAGAATGAGCTAGTGGTTGGGCGCCTGGGTGGCTCAGTGGGTTGGGCGTCCGACTCTTGGTTTCTGCTCAGGTCATGATCTCATGGCTCGTGGGTTATGGGATCGGGCTCCACACTCTGTGGGGAGTCTGCTTGAAGATTCTCTCCCTCTGGCCCCTCCCCCCATGCGTGTTCTCTCTCTCTCTCTCCCTCTCTCCCTAAAATAAATAAATAAATCTTAAAAAACAAAACAAAAGAATGAGCTAGTGGGGTCACCAGCACTGGGGCCTTCAGGCCCAGGCAGCTCTGGGCAGGGAACCTGGAAGGGACTGGTAAGTGCAGGGCCAGGACCACAGCTTCTTACTAGCTCTTTCCTTCCCCTTCTCTCCTCCCTTCTGTCTTTCCATCCTCCTCTTCTCCTTCCTTACTTGCCTCAATTTCCCTTTTTCTGCTTCCTTCCACCTCTCTAACTTCCTGTTCTTACACCTCTCTCTTCATTACTCTCTCCTCCTCCTCACCCTCCCACCTCATGGCTGCCCATGTTCAGATTCCCTCAGGGTCGCTCTCCCACTCAGAGCCTGAAGGGCCAAGCCTGCCTTCTGACGGTGGTTTCTTTCCCCCTAGGCATGAAGGCCGGAGCCAGGCCTGGAGGGACCCCAGGGGCTCCTGCCGGCCAGCCAGGCGCCGATGGTGAGAGCGTGCTCTCCAAAATCCTCCCTGGTGGGGCAGCAGAGCAGGCCGGCAAGCTGACGGAAGGTAAGTACTGCCTGTAGCCGGGTCCGTGGTGGGCAGCTGCTCCGGGGCCCTACTGTGGCCGAGGTTGGGTCTGGGCAATGATGGCGGGCTCAGCCAGTCAGCCACAGGCGAGCCTCAAGGTCTACCTGCCGCTGCCCAGTGGCTATCTTGCAGCAGTGGGGGGAGGGGGTGTCCCTGCCCCTTGGGCTGGGCTTGGCTTCACTGTGCCAAATGGCCCCGACTCGGAGGGAGTCTAGTCCAATTTCCTGATGCCTCTCTCCTTTTTCTGTCACAGCTGTCTCTGCTTTTGGCAAAAAGTTCTCCTCATTCTGGTGACCATGCCCTGCAGGGTAAGTATGAGTTGCCTAGACCCAGCCTCCCTTCCTGTGGGGGTGCTGAGGGATCCTCTAGGAGGAGTCTGGTGATGCAGTGGGTGATGCGGCCAGAGCTGCAGTACCCTCTCCTGTGAGTGTGGGAGGAGGAGGAGGAGGAAAAGGAGAGACCCAATGCACAGAGTCCCTAACATGGGGCCAACTCAATAGCGGTCCCAGCAAAGGGAAGCTAGGGCCAACATGCCCTTGTCCTTTTCCACCACCCCCTACCACCCCCACCCCAGGGCTCTCACAGCCTTGAGTTGGCTTTAGTTTGTAGGTAGGGCCCTCTGGGATGCGGCTCCTTCCCAACCCTCCTCTGTAAATACTCCACAGGCTCTTGAAGAGATGAAGGGAGATGATATCATTGCTGTGGAAAAATCTCTGGAGTCAGAGGCCTGGGCACAGCTCTGGACTCTGCGTATAACAGTGAGTGTCAGGTCCAGGGTAGGGTGGGGCAGAGGAAGGGGTGAAGGTCCAAGGCCTGGCTGACCAGACCCACGTAGCTCCTCCAAGTGTGAACTGGGAGGAGGCTGGTGGGCTTCCTTCAGCTGTGATGGGTCTGGCAGCTACCCGAGAGGCAGAGACCCCTGGGCTGGCTGAGATGACTCAGGCAGTAACCTTGGGGAAGGACCCAGCAGAGCCAACCGTGCCCCTCAACTTGGGGGCTGTGCACTGGGCACCATTCCAAAGCCCCTTCCCCTGAGTCTGGTGCTGGTGACTTTGCCCCAGACAGTCGGGTAAGGCCAGAGTCCCCAACCCTGCCGAGCTCAGCAGCCACGGGCCTGAGCTTCAAACACCGTTGACTTCAGAGGCTGAACTCCTGACCTGCCAGATGGGAGAGCAGAATGAGAAGCGAGGCAGACGGAAATAACAGAGAGGAGGGGGAGGTCACTGGACAGGCAGGCGGTCTCAGCCCCCAGACAGGTCAGCCCAGGGAGAGAGTGGAAGGGCCTCCGCATGGGAGCCTTGGCTCTGTGTGGGCTGCAGTGGCCAACACGGGGTGAGAAGCCTCCTCCCGGAGCCCTCTCTGGCCTCAGCCCTGCCTCTACGGCAGAGGAGGAGGCCGTGCGTCCTCCAGGATGGCGGGGAGGGTAGCCTGGCTAGTGGCGCTGCTCTGTGCCCAGCCAGGGACCACCTTCTACCATTCCATAAGCCTGGGACCCTCTCCCTTCCCTTCCTTTGCCGCCTCTCGGCTCTAGAGCACAGAGGTTTGGACGCTTCTCACGGTGAGCAGGCATGTGTGTGGCAGGGCCAGAGAGGCAGCGAGCAAATCACAAGGGAGCCCAGGCAAGGGCTGCTTGTAGGAAGGAGCTGGGTGTACTTTCCAAAGGGCTGCCTGTCTGGGGGAACAATGGGGGCACCAGAAAGGCCCAGTCTTCCATCCACTTATCCATTTATTCCACAAATGTTTGTCAGGCCCTAGGCAGGTGCCAGGCCCTGTTCCAGGTGCTAGGGATACAGCAGGGAACAAAACCAAGTCCCTGCCCTCCAAAGCCAACAGTCCATTTAAGGGGGGCAGAGAATAAATAAGCTAAAAAAATAAAAAGATTAAAAAGGTGATTTCTGAAGGTGATGAGTGTTATGAAGCCAGGGAGGCAGGGTTATGGGCCACCGGGGCTGCTCTGAAGAGAGTGGGCAGTGTGAGGTAAGGCTAGAGGCAGGATGATGTCGGGATGGGACAGGTGGGCTTAGGGACCAGGCAAAAGGCCAGCATAGCCAGAGCCACAGCGGAGGGAAACGGTGGTCAGGAGTGAAGTCCCAGGGGGTGGGAGCCAGCTCCGGTGGGCTTTGTAGGCCAAAGTAAAGAGCCCGGAATTTATTCAAATTACAGTAGCCACAGTGCGGCTCCCCCAGCGTTCTTCCTGCCTTCAGCCCACGACAGTGGGCTCCCTGCCACTTTCCCACCCCGCCGGATGTTTCCTCGGAGTTGCCCCAGAACAGATGTGAAATCAGAAATTGTGCTGAAGGGAAGGAAGGGCAGCCCATGGGCTGGGGCCATGGCAGAACCCACCCTGGGCTTAGGCCTAGGGCTCCGTCACCGAGGAGTGAAAGGAACCACGGGCATGGTTTTGTTCACAAAACCTGGGTGGCCACTGAGACCACTAACTTTGTAGTTAAAGGGGTCTCCCTCAAGTTCTGGCGTTTGGCTAACAATTGGGCCAAGCGGTCAGCGCTTCTGTGAGTGCCCGTCCTCTGGTGTCTTCTATGACCGTTTCAGAAGCGGCCTGGGGGAGGCTGGCCCTTTTAAACAAAATCCCATCTTCCTCACTCTGAAGCAACTTATGTTATATTCAAGAAATGTCCCTTCCTGGCCAACTGGATTCTTCTCACTTCCTGTCCTTCTCTTCGTGACCTCAAAATTGCTCAAGCACGCATCTCCCCAAGGCTCAGTAGGTGGGGGGGCCCCCCCCGGGGGGAGGAGGGGTCAGGCCAGCGGTGCATGGCAGGCCACCGACCGAGAGGAGGGTAGGGATGGGAAGCAGCCGTCCACAGTTCTTGACGACATCCTTCTTTCTTTCCTTCTTTCCCTCCGCCTCCCGCCTTCTCTCCTCCAAGCATCTGCAATCTGGCAAACCCTTGGCCCAAAGACTCACACCAGGTGGGACGTGGCAGGCAGGCCTCAGTTGAGGACGTTTTCTAACAGCAGCTGCCTGGGTGAAGCATCTGCTGGACATGTTGGGACCACTGGCCCGGGGGACCTGTGATTGTCTTTCCAGAGACCCTGCTCTCCTCAGGGCACCACCTTCGAGGCCTAGCCTTCGCTGGGAGGGAGGAGCCCTCTCCGGACACCCTGCCACTGCGGCCCGGCCAGCCAGGCTTCCTATGCGTTATACACAGAGTTTGGGCGCAGGCTGCCTGTTTTTGATGGACGCTGCCCTCCCTCCATGATGCCAGAAGTTTTTCCACAGCCTTGGAGAGGGGCTTTGACTGAGGGCTGGGGGCCCCGGGCTCCGTTTCCTTCACATTCCAGCTGACCCGGATCCCTCTGTGGCCACAGGGCCCTGCTCCCCTCACCCTGCCCTCTGGGTGACATCAGAGCAGACCTCCGTGTGGCTAGCGTGGGGTTGGGAGAACTTTACAAACATTAGGACCTAACACTGTCTCATCGCTGAAATAAGAGGCCATAGCAGCGAAAAGCAGCGTGGGCACTGGCTGAGGCTTCTCCCAGCCCATGGGTGGCAGCATGCTAGCCTGCCTGCCACCATCTCAAAGCCATCCCCCCCTCCGCCCGCCCCCAGCCATCGTCAGCATCCCAGCAGCACCGCCATTGTCTCGATCAGCCAGCTCCTTGTTCGTACACCTGGGGATTTCTTTTGATTTCGAGAACAGCCTTAATCATTTCAGTTTGATTTACATGTATACCTCATAAGCATTTTTCTTTTTTTGTCTCCTTCTCCCCCTTCTCTCTTTTTCTTTGCTCACCTCCTTGCCTCTCCCCTCCACCACCTCCTGTGACTGATGGTTTGGTTTCCTCTCTGCTCTGCCCCTGCTCAGCACAGGGAGAATGTTGACTCAGAAGCAATAGGGGGCAGCAGGCCACCAAGAGCACAACCCCAGGGCGAGGTCTAGGGAGGCCCCTCAGCCCGCCTCTGTTTACTGTGCAATCCAGTCCTTCTTAAGCCATCACCAGTGGGCATGCTCAGAGCAGAGGGGCCAGGGCTCCTGCCAGCCGAGGGCCGGGCCCAGAGCCCTGTGCTGGGGGGTATGGCACCATCCACCCACCTGGCGGACTGGGTGGCATTCCTCCCCAAGGCCCTTGCCCTGGGGGCCTCCCTTCCTCTTGGGCACCCCCACCAGTCTCATCTCTAACGTTCTATGCAATGAAATATAAACCCTCAAAGACAACTGTTAATATTTAATAAATTCCATGTTATGTATAAGGAGTCAATTGCAAACATGCAATTGAGAAACTGGATAGATAAGCTCATATCAACCCCGCCCCCCGCCCCCTGCTCCCACCGTGTGTGTGAAATTCTCAGTCTGTGGCATGTTTGACCTGTGGCAGGACGCGCTGCTGCCAGGTGAGTCACCGCCTGTCCTGCAGTGAGGCATGCACAGCTCACAGCCTTTTTGCACGATTTCATCCATTTTAAATGCTCGACCCTCTTGCTTGGGAGTTCTTTTTGCCTCAGAACTTCTCCTCCTGGAGTGCTTCTAGCTGACTTCTGCACGAGCTAGTGAGGACCTGCTGGAATTGTTGCCTGAGCGTGCCAGGCTGTGGCGTAGGCAGCGCAGGGCTTCGCATGCCCTGCGGGCTTCTCGGACCAGGATGGCAGGTGAAAAGAAGCCTCTGGAGTAGACACGCTGGTGGGGCCCACACAGGAGTGTGTGGGTGAACATTCTGAAGGTTTGCTATAGGATTTCCCTCTGTAAATTGCTCCCCCTCTCATCCCATCCCTGAGCCAGGGGTGTCTGGCCACCCCGTTCAGTGGGACATGGCTCAGGCACAGAGCTGGCCTGTGTCTCTGGCCGGAGACACAGGCCAAGGGCAGGGTCTGGCTATGTCCTAGGGACCCCAGCTCCTGACTACACCTGCTCCTTGCCTCTCCTTTGTAGCTGGGCAGCTCCAAGGTCTGTGAGCCAAGAGAGAGAGGCTGGGGCGCAGGGTGCTCAGGTGCTCAGGAAGAGCTGGACCTCTGGCCCTTGTGGTGAGGACAGCTGACAAAGTCATCTTGGACCAGAGCAGGTGTTCCCATAGACAGTAGCTTCAAGCTGAGTTTCTTGGGAAGCTTGTCAATGGCAGAATTCACAGAAGGTTGTGTTGTGACCCTTTTTCCATCTGTCCCCAGGACCTAACCTCCCTGCCCACCCTTGTCCCTGAAGCCCAGGTATCCCACCGCTCCTCAGCTTCTCTCTAAGTCGGCAATGCAGCAGGCAGTGACCACCCGACCCCCCGAGGCCTGGCCTTCCTCCAGTGTGCTCTGGTTTGCACCATGCATTTCTCAGGGGTCCACATTTCTCATGCTTTCCAGTACGGTCTACACAGCCCTTCAGAGGGGGATCCTGGCCCACCTCTGGCAGCTGTGGATGGGACAGGAGGCTGTCGACCTCTTTTTGGGCCTGCGACCCTGGTCCTCCTGGATTTGGGCTTCACCCGTCCCCCAGGACACCTGCCTCATCCCAGAGATCAGGCCTGGGCTGTTAAGAGCCCGTCTGGGCAAGGGCTAAGGGAGGCCACTCTCCATCACCTCTGACTACCCAGGGCCAGGTCTATGTGGGGATGTGCCTGGTGGCTGGATACAGTGGGGACCAAGGCAGTAATCCTTACCATGAAAGGCCAGGGGATGGGCCCAGGAACAGGGAGCAGGCAGGGAGATGGCAGCAGGTCCGCCTCCATCAGGCCCAGTCTCAGGCTCTAAAACGTTGACTTTTTCTCAAATTTCCTTTCGGACCAAGCCCTCTGAGTTTGAACTTTCTGACATCTGCCACTCCCCACTCCCCCAAGCTACCCACAGGACACCTCTGTACCCGTCACCCCGTGTGAAGGTGGCTGAAGCAGGCCTCTCTGGGCCACAGGTGTCCTGACCTTTGTGTAGATGCAGCCATGGCTCTGGGGGACACTGCAGCCAGAGGCTGAGAGACCAGCATTGGGTGCCTCGGGCGGTGGGGAGCATCGGGCACATCTCTAAATGAGCAAAGGGTCTCTGGGATGCAGTCCAGGCCTTCTCCACATCTGCCTCCTCAGTGTCATGAGCAAGGGCACTGTCTCTGCTCACTCCAGGGCCCAATGCACTCACTTTGCAGCAACACCCCCCCCCACACACACACACTTAGTCCTTAGGAAGAGAATGGGGTCTCGGGGCCCATGATGAGAGGGCAGCAGTGGTAGTAACTATGGCCTGTCTTCTGGAGCCTGTGGGGGCATTTTCCAGGCAGATACTTTGCCATGGCAGCATGGTCCTGGCCTACTGGCCCTTCCCCTGCCCTCCTACCACCCTCCCTCCATTCTGTAAATACTTGTCATCGTGGACTCTGACAGGGTCAGAGGGACAGGCCTGACCAACCAAAACTCCTCAGAGATATCATCTCTGTCTCCCTGGGTACCCATGTGCACTGGGGTGGCGCTGGAGAGCCATGGAAATCGTGAGATACTGTGTGTGTATGCATGTGAACAAGTGTGTGAATGTGTATGTGTGTGCGTGTCTGCCTCATTCAGCCTCTGGGATCACATCAGCTCCTGCTCTCCAAGCGCAGTGCCCTGGAGAGTGGTGGCTGCCCAGCGCCTTTCCTCTGCTAGCTTCCATGTCTTGTTTTTGCTTTCTCCTCCCTCCCTCCCTCCCTCCCTCCCTTTCTTTCCTTCTCTCCTTTATTTGAGGGGGGAAGAGTGCTGTACAAAGTCAAACAAACAAGTTTACAGTTGTAAGTGCAATGACCCGAGTCCTCCACATGACCTTGTGAATTGTGTGCCGTCCTCCTGTGCTCTGTGAGAACTCGTGGTACTTCGGTGTCCCTCCCCCCTGTATTGTGACAAGGTAATTCTGTGGTATCAGAATAAAAGGACTTGATATAAACAACCTACAGACTGTCTCTGGGATGGTTTCTGCAGTGGGAAGGCTTAGCCCGAGGAACAAAGCCCCAAACGTGGGATAATCCTGTCTGTTCACAGTTAAAGGGAAAGGGAAAGGGCCAAGTTGTAGACGTGCTGGCGAGGCCATGGCTTTGTCTACACCAAGCCTGCCAAAAACAACGGGCCCTCCACAAAGACGTCGGTGGCAGGTCCCAAGTTTGGACCTGGAGGGAGCAGCTAGGTCACTGCGCAGCTGTTGCTGGACCGTGCATCCGAGGCCTGTGTGTCCAGGGGCACAGCTTTCTGGAACCTGGTTCCTGGTGAGCCAGGTGAGCAGGTGCTGCCCCCTGGTGCTGCCCACAAGCGCTACACCTCTCTGCCTTGCTGTGTCTCCTTCAATCCCTCGACTCTTGGAGGCTGCCAGACCTTAGTCCTTCCCCAAAAGGATGGGAGAACCTCCTTACCAAAGTAGCCCAGAGCTGCTAGAAGATTTTTAAAATGCAGATAAAGAAAAGAGTATCAGCCTCACCTCTGACCTTCCTCCAGGGTTAATACCTTGATGTAGGTCCTTCCTATCTTTTTCATTTTAAACAGAAGCCAGAAGGTGCAGTACCTTCTGTTTTCTAGACTCCTGTTTATTTCTACATGTTCATCCCAGGTAATTAGGTGTTTATCCTCCAATGCCCGGCTTCCAGACAGCTGCATGATGAGTTTATAGCCAGTCTACTGTACATACCCTGAAGACCGAGCACCATGGTCCTGGTTTTCCTTAATATAATATACAACGCTGTGATGAACATCTTAGTTTCCAACCTTTCCACTCAGATTGGTGGCTGTGGTCACCCTTTCTGCTCTCAGTTCTGGCCTTGACAGGCCTGTACATACTCAGTGCCCACAAATGCAAGCGGCCTCAGAAAGTGGGAACTGTTTTTACTTAACTAGTCCGATGTGGTTGATGGCGAAGGGGAAGCTGCAGGCCAGGCAAGTGGGGATCTCAGTCAGAGGCAAGGCAGAGTGCAGGGAGCCAGGTCTCTGAGGTGTGGAAGACCAGCCAGGCTCAAGGTATATGGAGTAGGGCACATCCCTATAGCCTGACTGGTGCCTAGTCTCTCCTGCCCTTCCCTGCCATCATAGCCCAACCAGTTCTGTGCCACTGTGCTGAGGGAGTCTGCCTGCCTGCCCAGGTTCTCCTGTCCACAGGAAGCTCTTTGATTCTAGGTGGAGCCTGACCCCCGTCGGGCCCTCTGCACCCAAGAGCTTTGGACGAGGCCTGGGGCGG